AAGGTTAACAAGTTTGAGTGCAAGAAAGCCCCTGTAAGAGCGTGATAAATCCTAACAGCTTCAGTTTCTGACGTGTTTTCAGTACCACTGGAACATTCCATGGCCCAGGGCACCCAAAGTGGTAAGGAGCTTTGTTCTTCCTTCAATTCCTTGAAGTGCCCTTAATTAACTAGGATTTTGCATAATCAAAACTCCCTTCTTATTCAAGGGTGTTGAAGCGCAGATGGTTGGCCAACAACAGTTACATTAGAAACAGGCTCTGATTTATTTCCTGCTGCGGGGGGGGGGGAGTACAACTTCATCCTCCATTCTGTACGGGACACAGAGTAGAGTTAGGAGGGGGTGCCTGGGGCAGCGTACAGTGGAAAAGAGATGGACCACCACCTGGATTCCAGATCTTCTTCATCTACCTATTTAAACATGGACTCTTGGGCAGATAAAACCATTTCCTCTTGGTGTGTCAGTCTTGTAGCCCAACAAGTTCACCGAGTAAAATTCAGGCTTAACTTCTAAGAATTGTTGTGAAAATCCAATATAGTAAGCTTGGAAAACATTTTGAGAAGCAAAAAACACAAAGAAATGAGTCAGTAATCCTATCTGCGGCTGAGTGAAAAATCTTCTTCCTCTTCCTTTGTTCACACTGACAAGAACAGGCTCTGTCAGAATCCAAGAACAGCTTTCCTGTAAGTCCTGGATACCTGTCTCATTAGTGGGTCCCTGACCCAGATGGGGTCTCAGCTTCTCCACGACCCTAACGTACACTTCACATTGCCAACGTGGACAACCCAGTGAGTTCCTACTAGGGTGGGGATATTGTGAAATCAGAAATATCATTATTAAAGATGAGAGGTGTGTCCTCCAGCAAGAAGGTCAAACTACCGTGTATCACGTTTCATCAAAACTAAGACAACAGCAATTGTCATAGACGTAATGATTTTATACCATTAAGAAAGAAAAAGAATATTTTCCTTGATAATTTAGATGCTTACAATTGTAAGAAAGGAACATTTAAACGTGAAGAAATGTGCATTTTATGATCAGGAAGAAAAATGGTTTACTACGATTTTTAAATCTTTAAAAAAATAATAAGATGGAGATAATGTTTAATTAATAAACTAAAATAATAAAGCATGACCTGCCTATGTATCTGTCATGACCCAACATGCTCCGAAAACTGACACGGGAAAAATTCTCCCATGTGATCCATAGAAGGAATCCTGCAAGATTCCTGCTCTAACACGTTTAACTTTTCCATTTAAGGAACAACATCGTTAACTCTGACAGCAGTTTGAAAGGAGCAGAAGCAGAACTGTATAAATAATCAAATGAGAAGTTAAAGAGATCAGTGTGTGAGGCAGCCACGAACCAGTTCTAGGTATGTGATTATGAACATGCCTCCAAAAACCTCTTCCGTGGAGGAAAACTGATTTTATGACTAAAATACCAAGAACAATAAAGCTTTGTTCAAGAAACAGGTGCTGGTCACACAGATCAGGAAGTAACAACATTCTGAAGGGTCAGGCAGGTTTTGTGACAGGATTAGGACTGTTGTTTTTCTTAGGGCAGGAGTTTGAAACCTTCTTCTGGAAAGGGCCATGTGGTAAGCAGTCTCAGCTTCACAGACCTCAGGATCCATCACAGGTACTCAGCTCTCCTGCTATAGCCCCAAACCTGCTTCCGACAGTACGCAAGCAAACGGTGTGGCCGTGTTCCTACACAACTTGACTTGTAAAAATGGGAGGCAAACCATGCCTTAAAGCTCAGAGTGTCTTGCGAATCAACACACGGGGCCAAACCTATCTAACGGTTTAGCTGTTCCCCTTGGAGGACAGTAAACTCGAGAGTCCTCGTGGGTGTAACTGTTCACAAAGGGAAAGCTTCGTAGGTTCGTGGGAACAGGGATCTTGTAGGCGCTCGTTGCAAGTCACGTGATAAGTGAGAGGGAGAAGACGATTGTCTTAGGGCTGCCTCAACGAACGATCAGCCTCCAAAATGCTGAAACGGGGATCAGTCTTGCAGGACTCGGTCTTGGTCAACGTCACAGGCAGACGTTACCGCAACAAAGAAAGAAATAAGACACAGAGATGAAGAATGCTGAAAGGAACTAAAATGGAACAGGGGGGCTCGAGCGGTGGGACCACGGGGCTGAGGTCTGCCCACGAAGGGCTCGCATGACCTGGCTTCTACTTGTCCTGCCTTTCCAGTTTCCATTCACCCCTCCCACCACAGCAGGAATCACAGTTGGTACATGAGTCCCATTTTAATCAACTGGATTTGGTTCAGAAGACCTCACAGTTGTTTCAGGGAGAAGAGGCATTGCAGAAGTGTGCTATCACATTTGGAATTTCCAGGGACAGAGGCTTCAGATGACCTTCAATGACAGCTTCCTTCTCAGGGATCAGACGTCACAATGTCAACCCAGCGTCACCGATGTTAAGGGATTGTGTGTTTATGACGCAAACATGGTACGTCTCGTTCCACAAGATCCCACGACAGCATATTTTAATTTACGTGGATGTATGGTTTGTGTACAGCATAGAATGCAAACTATGAGTAGGAGGGCAAGTTACAGAACATACAAGACACTGCATCAATTCATCCGTTTTGTTGTATTTCTGATGAATCTGCTCTGTTCAGTGCCTCAAGGGGCCTGAACCACCTCTTTTTATTTGCTTTTTACTAAAAAGCGAGCTGCAGTGAGTCAAGACGTCCCTTGACGTCATCACCTCTCTTTGCGGGCATGAGTGCGTGCGTGTGCGCGTCTTGGGCGGGACCTGTGACTTGCTAACCAGTAGAATATGACAAAGGGGAAGAGGTGTCACACCTGAGCATATGTTGCATTATAGAGACTGGTCTCAGCACAGACTGCACATCAAGTCTCTCCTGCTGGCCTTGAAAAAGTAAATAGCCATCTCGTGACCGGCCTGGGGGGGCCACGTGGTGAGGAAGTGTAGGCAACTTCCAACAGCCATCGAGAGAACGGGCCCTCAGTCCCATAACCGTAAGGAAATGAGTTCTGCCAACAACTAAACTGCAATGAACTTGGAGGCAGACTGTCAGCAGAAGCAGCTGAGCCCCCAGACGAGAACGCAAGCCCAGCCAACACCCTGATTACGGCATCGTGGGACCCTGAAGCAAAGAATGCATTTAAGTCATGTCCAAACTCCTGACCCACAGAGACTGTGAGATAATAAATGTGTGTTGTTTTAAGCCACTAAGCTTGGGGGTCATTTGTTAGGCAGCAAGAGATAACTCATACAAAGATATATTAAACTGAATGCCAGGTCAGCATATGTTTTCTGGAAAAGTTTGGATGGAATCCCTGAAGAAGCCAAAATGTTTTGGGGAAAATGGATGGATAATATGTCAGCTCCCTTGAGGGAGGACAGAAAACCATGACCGATGCTCCTCTGTATCACCCCCACCACCCAGAAAAGGGCTGGATACAAAGATGTAGGAAGGTTCTTCTTCTGTGGGAGTTAACACTCAATCGTTAGCTTAGGGGTGAGTGTCCTTGCAGAGCAACTGGGCTACAGAACTTCGACTATCTGCCAGTCCTGTGTATTATTTGAGGCATTTTCATGTTCACAATTACAAAATGCTTCCAAAGACTTCAGTGACAGAAATCCTCAGGTCCGAAGCGCTTCCAACAACACAGACATCATTATGTAAGAGTTTGAGAATCACCCATATTCCAGCAGCCTGTCACAAAATGCTGAGTCCAACTTCCAAAGCAAAAGGTGAGATTAGGAAAGTCACATATTATCATGTCTGTGCTGAGAAACATTTCCTCCACTGCACTCTGCTAAAGCCATACTGAACACTTTTCCACAAGAGCCCAACAGCCCTATGACCCCTCATCACCGTCCACGGGAAGTCGAGCCAAAGCAGCACTCGGATGCAGGGAAGAGGTGTGAGGCTCAGGGCTTTTGCTTTAGGCTGGGTCTTTCTACCTAGAGTGGGGGAGCCATCGGACCTGATGAGCTCCAACTTCCCAGTCCTGCGTGCCTTCCCAACGTAACTCTTACGCGTTTACTACATATGCCTTGGTCTATCTCCACGCATATGGGGAAGGTCTGTGGGCAGGAGCTTGGAAGGGTTGCCTGTCAGCCTCCAGTTCCCTTCAGGGAAGCCCCGGACCATCACGTTAGTCCGGTACCACAGGGCCTCCCTCTGGGCCGCTCCCCACCACCCTCGACGGAGCTGCTTTGATTGCTACAGTGGACTCTTTGACCGCTGTTCCGCACCAGCCCTCGTGGACCGTCCCACTGTCCGTTCTTTGAGAGGCCAGCAGTCAGCAGGCAGGCCGGCTCCCCGTCGTCCCGGCTGCGCCCAAGCGGACCCCAGGCTGCGTCAGAGCCTGGACCCCCGACTTGCTCTGGAGGAGACGGTCCAGCAAACCGGCTCTTCGCCCTCTGCAGCACGACTGAGGGTTTCAGACAGCAGGTGTCCGGGACAGTAACACCCTTTATTCTCTACCTGAAACCACCGGCCAAGTAAGAGCCTCGCACCCGGTTAAAGGCGGGCAAGCGTCCTGGCCAGGATATGGGGGCCCAAAGGGTGAACGATGAGATGAGAATGTCAAGAACCCCGCTACTAATAAAACGGCTGGCTTCTCCCAAACAGCATGAGAATGTCAACATCGTGCTGACAATCACTCGTACAATAGCCGTGCTGGAAAGTAGAAGGACAGCCCTAGCTTCTACCTTGGAAAAGGTTCTCGTCTCTAAGCATGTGTAATAAAATGGATTCCAATAATGGAAGCGGTGGGTGGCTAGGTTTTAAGAAAGCTCAATAATGTTTTTTCCTTTTACATGAATTCACAACACACACACACACACACACACACACACACACAGAGACACCCCTCCCTGCCGTAAACTAAACTCCCCAACCTGCAGCAGAATGCAGGGGCCCTTCACGCCAGTGATCCGCGCGGAGCACCATCAGGCTGACGCCGCGTCCTGGGTACCTCCGGGCGCGCGGCGGGGCGGCCTTACCTCACAGAAGGTCTGGCACTGCTGCTTCCTCGGGTCCCAGGACTCTTTGCAGGGCTCCAGACACTGCGCCGGGGGGGGGGGGGGGAGTAACAGTAAAAGGAAAGAAAGAAATGGATGAGAAACAGGGCCAAAGGAAAATCACCTGCACTCCTTACTTTTCCACTCCTGCTTCTGCTCCTTCATTCAGGAAAGCCCGCTACTCAGTGCATCACTTGAATGGTATATAACGGGCATCTGAGCGCATCACGACAGAACAGAAACTTTAGAAGATGTCTATTTGAACACACATGGAGGAAATGTAGTGCTAGTCACCATCGGGCAGAACCGTTTAGATGGGAGATACTTGTATTCAGTAAGAAATGTTTTCTGGGGGCACCTGGCTGGCTGGGTTGGTGGAGCACACAGCTCTTGATCTCGGGGCTGTGAGTTCGAGCCCCACATTGGGTGTAGAGATGGCTTAAAAATAAAATCTTAAAAAAATATGTTTTCTAAAGGTTGTTGTCATAGGTGAATTTTTTTTTTTTTTTCAGAAACGTTAACATGAACTTGCTTTACAATTGGCAACATAGGACTATTGTCTATATACTGTCCTGCAGGTGATCGGGTGACGCTGCACTGTATTAAGTATCTATATATAACACATAATTGTTAACTAATGTCTTTAGCCCAATGGATCTAACAGCATTAACATGCATCCACTTTAATCACTCTATTAAAATATACTGAATACACCTTAACATAAATATTTACCAAATAAATATCAGAACATATTGAATCAACCTAAATATATTGAATAAACTGACATGAGAGTTTCAGAATAAAGTCTGAATATATGTTTAAAATGTAATACCATATATATTAACAAATCAAAGATAATAACTAGGCTCCATTATCCAATGACAATCATAATAATAATGTTAATAGAAATAATAATGTATAGTACATATAAAGTATATATACATGTATTACATATATTTATACATGTAATAATAAAGAGTAATGTTGAATAAAGTTTATATACATGTATAATAGCTTATTACTATGTATAGTATTAGTATAATATATAAAATATAATGCTATATATATGTGTACTAAATACATTATGTATACTATATACCACTACACCACGGAACTATTTATATATACAAACATATATGTATGAAACAGCACTACATACACTACATAAAATACAGTACCTTATATAATATATAATACTATATATACTATATACAACATACAGTAACAAATAAGAGATCACAGCCAGTCTTCACGGTTGAAATTAAAGCGTTACATTAATATGAATAGAGATCTGATTCTCAATTTTATGTCTTAATGCAAGTTTTTAATTAGTAAAAATGAAGAGTCTCATATAGTTAAATGTCAGTTCTCTAAACATTGGCTTACCCCTGGCTCCATCAGGTCATATATTATTTTACCTATATGATTTTTATTTCATTATTGATAAATTTTCCAATTAGGATCAAAGTTCTCAGTTCAATTCCAGTAAGTATACTCTAGAATTCAGGATATATATATATATATATATCTCCATATATCCATGGACATATATATCCATATTCAGGATACATACACACACACACACACACACACACACACACACACACACACACCCATATATACCAATACTGTTTTCCACTCCACTTGGTAGTCACCTCCCCCCCGTTTTAAAATAACACAGTTTAAACTCTAGGACTCTCTACTGTCCATGTGTCAACTGCCCATCTGTCGTAGCAACGCCGCTCACAGTGTGATCAATGACTGATAATATGAACACCTTGCAGTTTATCAGAAATGCACCTAGAGTCAGAATCTCTGGGAACGGGGCCCAGGAATCTCTGTTAGCAAATTCTCCAAGAAATTCTGATGCTTACTAAACTTGGAAAAGACCTGCCTTATTGTGGTAAACATTTCCCAACATATACGTGTGTCAAATCACAACATCGTACAACTTAAAAGTTATACAAGGTTGTGAATCATATCTCAATAAAGCTGGGGCAGCAGAAAGAACTGCTATAGAATTTGATGGGGGAAAAAGGGTCCATAGGGCCGCCTGGGTGGCTCTGTCGGTTGAGTGACTGTTGATTTTGGGTCAGGTCATGATCGCAGGGTTGTGAGATCAAGTCCCACATCAGGCTCCACACTGAACATGGAGCCTGCTTAAGATTCTCTTTCTCCCGGGGTACCTGGGTGGCTCAGATGGTTAAGCATCTGCCTTCAGCTCAGGTCATGATCCCAGTGTCCTGGGATCGAGCCCCATATGGGGCTCCTGGCTCAGCGGGGAATCTGCTTCTCCCTCTCTCTCTGCTTCTCCCCCTGCTCATGCTCTCTCTCTCTCTCTGTGTGTCTCAGATGAATAAATAAAATCTTTAAAAAAAAAAAAAAAGATTCTCTCGCTCCCTCTCCAAAAAAAGAACAGTCCATATTGTCCCTTTGTTTTAGTTTTCATTAAAAACCCATCTATTTCTTGTAAGAATATTTTAGATTGTATATTCTTTAATGCTGCATGTGAACAATTCATTTTTTAGTTATTTTAATTTTACAAACTGAGCTCTTCCACGATACTTTTCCAAGACCTACACAAGCTTGTCCCGAGTTTCCTGGTGTCCACCTCTCCCAAGCATGTTAAAACCAATGCACAGTTTTTTGCCAATATAACAATGGTAAAAGAACACCATTTTTCTAACAGCAATGAAGTCACTTAAAAACTTGTCTCCCGAGGTGCCTGGGTGGCTCAGTCAGTTAAGCATGTACCTTCAGCTCAGGTCATGATCTTCGGGTCCTGGGATCAAGTTCTGCATCAGGCTCCTGAGCAGGGAGTCTGCTTTTCCCTCTCCCTCTGCCCCTCCTCCCTGCTTGTGCACAGGTACACAATCTCAAATAAATAAATAAAATCTTTAAAAAAAAACAAAACTTGTCTCCCTTACATATTTTATGAGTTCTTTCAAGAGTTAGTTTTGTTTCTTAAAGGAATGTCTGATTCCTTATCCTCAGACCTCTCTATTTGTTTTAAGACACTGGCTCCTAGCCAAAAAAGTTTAATGGTCACTTAATAAGTATATCTAGACCTAATTCCTTCTCAAGACCATCTGAAGTGAATAAACGGCATTCCTCAGAATACGGCATTCCTCAGAGATTTTGTTTGGTTGGAGAGGTGTCCATTGATGCGGGAGGACCCCTCCGTAAGATCTGGGGATTTCGCACGGACACAAGTTGAGCGACTCACAAATTAAGTCTTTATCATTTTATTCAGAAAACATCCAACAAACATCCATTCCATAGGAAACTGCTCAATGCAATGTAGCTAACAATGTCTCAACATAATTACGTCAATCTTGCTTCGGATTATTGCTGAGAACGTAAATTGTGAACACAGGTCAGCTACACATGTGCTCAGTTGCATTGTCACAACTACAGACATCGGTGCATTAAAAAGTTTCAATCCTTGGAGAACTCCACAATTCCACCTAATCCTATTCCTGACAGACTCTGGAACAAATACCTTATATAAAACAAGCATCATTTACAAAGAGAGGCATACTTGTGAAATGCTAATGGACGCAATACATAACGTACTTGTCTTCTTGTTAATCCGGCATCGCTATCTGCCAAGTCCAGCATCAGTATATGCAATTCATTTAAAGTTGTCATTTCAATTGCATGCTTGCTTCATTTCCAATAACCAGTAAATCATCAGTGTCTAAAGATACATCACAAAATGTTATTAATGACAGCCAACATTTTCTTTTAATAATCCTCTGTGAAAACTATCTGGCAAGAAAAGCCTGGATATGGAAATCTGAGTAAATCTTTGCAGGATCCATCTGCCAAAGCTCTATTTCTTTATAGTGCTCTTAGCCAGGTAAAACGATGGCAATAAAAGCCAGAGTGGGGTAAAAAGGTGCAACCATTTCTCTTATGCTTCAAACAAGAAGAAAAAGCATCCTGTTTCTCGGGGCGGCGGGGGGTGGGGAGGAAAAAGGGCAGACTCAAATCTCATTTCCATGAGAAAAATAATACTACAAGCAGACAATTGCTTTGGAACATACTACATATCACAACAATAAGTGCCCTAGTCAAATTCAAAAAAAAAAACCAAAAAACAAAAAACCCAGTAACTGAATTTACTATTTTAGCAAGCGTTTTAAGCTTTCACACTTTAGGATGATCAACAACTTGAAATTATTTCTTCCCACGTTACTGTCTCAAGCCAAACGAAGCAAAACTTAAAATTTCAGGGAAAATTTTAAAAAACCAGCTGACAGAGCTAATCACGTAGATCATCATTTGGAATGTAGACACCAATTATTTTTCACTTAATCTAGAAAGATACATTTGCAATATCACTTCCTCAGCTTATAATTCTGTATTATATTTATACTTAAAAATACACAGTAATATAAAACACGTACATATAATATTCTACTAAAATGTAAGACACACGAGCACTGAAACTTGTTACATTTACTACGATATTCTTAACATGTAGTAGCAGCTCAATAAACATCTGTTAAATAAATTTATTGATAAGTTTCAATGTTTTTATAGGCAGTTCCTGGAGTTGGCACATTCGTATTTGAGCGTGGAAGTATTTCTCCAGGGACCGAGCAGATACTGAGTTAAGAGTGAAGGAGGGTAAGTGATGAATGATGGGAGTGGCAGGAAGAACAGAAAGCTGGAGAGGTCAGCCAGTGACCAGGAGACAACTGCTCCTCACTGCCTTCTGGTTCTTGTCCAGGACCGCCTGGCACTCCAAACTTTGCAGAGAAACCAACGACACTGACTTTATGTAAACCTTTCCAACTTCTACATATACTGCGCAATGCTGTGTAGGTAATTTTATTGCTATTTATTTAGGGCAGAAGATATTAGATACATTATTTTAATTGCTCTAAGTAAGTGGTTTTGAAATGGGAGTGAGTTTGCCCTCTCGGGGAACACTGGGTGATGTCTGGAGATGGTTTTGTTTGTAGCAACTGAGGAGAGATGTACTGGCTTCTAGCAGGCAGATGCCAGGGATGCGGCTTAAACATCATACAGTGCAC